CCATTGCATATATAGAAGACTGTATATATTTATGTATGCTTAAATAAAAATATTGCAAAAACAAATATTTTAAGTGGGCGTTTAAACAATTTTCGAAATGCGCCGCAGCCAACAACAACAACGAGTTACAACAAACCACAATTTCAATTACAGTGCAGCTGAAAAGTAAAACACCTATAGCAATAGCAACAGCAGTAAAAACCAGTTAAAAGTGACGGGCAACAGCCGAATCAACCCCCAAAGTAAAAAATAATAAAAACTATTTTAAAAGTTGCATGACAAAAAATAAGGAATTATAATTGAAATAAAAACAAAAATCGATCTGCATAATAAGTGAATTGTAAACCGATTGACGGAAATTGGAAACCCAAATCAAAAGTGCGAAAATCAACAGAAAAAAGATTGTCGAAAACCGGATCTCTATAAGGATCGAACCAAACACAACCGCAGCGACAGACACAGATATAAAGAGTGAAAGAGACAGACACCCAGTCGACAGAGGAAGAGAGGAGAGGGAGATACTACAAAAATGGTAAATAATTTATGTATTTTTAGTTTGTACACCCTCCGCATTTGTACTTGACCCACTAATTATGCACAGACCCCCCACTGTTAGCTGGGGGCTGAGCTGCAATGATATCAGCGGCTCTCTATGAGAAGCGGCTCAGTTAACGGTTATCAGCAGAGGCGTAAGGCGAGAGGCAGCATCGGGGGGCCAGCACCCACTCGACAGAGCCGTCGAACCATTACATAATGTTTTATGGTGACGACGTGACGATAAAAGCGAAAACCAGCGCAAAACTAACAACAACAAGTCGAGTCTCGTTTGTTACTGTTACTGCATTTGCGTTTCTGTTTCTGGGAAGTGCAAAATGTTGCCGCAACTTGGAATTATCGTGCGATACTTTTAACCCATAATTCTGAGCGGCTTACGAATGAAACAGCATGAAAGATTTAGCAAAGGAGAACAAGAAAAATGTTTATGCACTTGAGGGAAAATATTATGATAGCGCGTACTTAAAGAACAACTTTAATACTTAAAGAGATCAAAGATGATGCGATATGAATAGCAGATATCATGAGTATTTGGGAATGCCTGAGGAATAAAAGATGTGAACTTCAATACATTCGACCACTAGACAATAATAATTATGTTATATAAAAGAAATCTTAGTTTAATTTTTTTCATGTAAGC